CACCGCACTTTAACAGCGATTTACCCTGATCACGAGCCTTTAGATGCCGACAAGGGATCCAGATCGAATTCGAGACTGGCCGATCTGCTTGCGTACTATCGTCGCGCGTGTCGCAAAGTGCTCTCTGTAACTGCCCTGATCGCCACAAAAGGATGTGATAACGTTGACAACCGTCACAGGATCCTCCTTCACCTGTGTCGTGAAATTTTACGGCGATAAAAAATGGAAAAATTCAAAGCTGTACGATGATATACCGAATGAAAAGATCTCTCACAGAATCCTAACGAGAACTATCAAGACTAATTTAAGCTATTTTAGTAATTAAAAGCTGATTTCAATTTTATATACATATTTCTAAGATTTTCTCCAACATTTGTTAGAAACATTCTGTAGATTCGAAAAGTGCCAAGCTAAATTTCATTTCAGAAATGGTAAATATAATATTTTAACTGATATATAAACTATATCTATATGTATATACGCGTATGTGTATGTATACACTCGCACACATATGCATATAATCCTTTGGTGTATGCAGATTTTTTTAAATAGCATGGAAGAAAAAAAAATAACAAAAATGTGAGAACGATAAATCGTGCCGAAGAAGTACTAAATCGCAATTCTCACACCCTTTTTCGTGCTTCTCACGCAGACATCGACTAGGGTGAAACAAAGCTATTATTGTACAGACTGATAACTTTCACAAAAACCGCACACCGACGAGAATTCTGCAGGTCTCGCGCGAAATCACGAAACCACGACGATAAATTCGATCCTTGTAAACTCGTTTAAATTCGAGAAAAAATTGCAACATCCCAGATAAATCTTTTCGAAAAATTATCAATCAAAATGACCTGCATTTTCTCTCTCAGTGATCTTTACCCTCGAAGCGACAATCCTTCTCGCCTTCCATTCTTTAATTAATTGAGTTAGTCTTAGCCTCTCAGTGATTATCAAATGTGAGTGTATTTAATTATTATAATTATATTTGCTTGCCTCTCTCTCTCTCTCTCTCTCTCTCTCTCTCTTTTCATCCCTCGATTTTCTAAAAATCGATATAAGCTGTCTAGCCGCTGCCTCTTTGCATTTATCTTGTTTTTTTTTCCTTTTTTTTCATGAAAATCCACCCCTGTAAATACCTTCTCTCGTGTTATCGCACACACACACGTTAGACTATGAGTTTCTGATTATACAACCCATTGTGGAACCGGACCGTGACCGCCCGCTTTCACTTTCGCACGATTTTTCTCTAGGGTCCTTAGGGAATCCTACCGTCCTTAGACGTTCTTTGGTCCATCAAAGTTTTGAATTATATTGTGGATAATAATTGACCTGACGGCACGCGAGATTCTCCTACCCCAAAAATATTTGGTGCCTTATTATACCGATTGTGATACAGCATTATTAAATTGTAGCAAGTCACTAATAAATGTTTATTAATTAAAAAGGCACTGAAAACAAATATATAATATATTATTACATATAAATATGTATATTTTTTTTGTAAAAAAAAGTATGAGCAACGATGTCTCTGAACATCGCTCTATATTGCTTTTGTTTTTTCTTCGCTTTTTTAAATCTGTTACATTTTAATTTTTAATATCCTCATCTTTATGTAATTTATTTTAAGATATTTTTAGATTTGTTTTTAAATACTACATTGTTTTTTTTTGTAACATTTATATTACATGTAATAATTGCTTAGTTTAGTTTGCTTATCTCGGTTTTAATTTTTAACGCGATAATTTTGACTACTGTATCATTATTAAAATATCCTCCACTTTCTTTTTGTTAAACATGTAATTCTTATCGTACATGCTAAACATGTTAACTTTATCTTTACATTTTCCATGTAGGCCGTTATCAAACAGTTTCGATTGAAGAAAACCCGAATAAAGACTTATTCTTCGAAACATTCTTTATAATATTACTTGAAGATCAAAACTGTAATTTTTACGAAATCTTAAATAAATATATATTTTTCACATGTGCTACAAACTTGTACTTTAAAGCTTATTCAATCTTAATAACAAATAATTGCCCACTTATATATAAATATTTCATTAATGATATTTTAGAATATCATAATTAAAAAGTACATTATATATTACACAGTTTGTAAATATAGATCACTGTGCCTTTTTAATTCATAAACTATAATTTCTCATCACAATTAATTAATGAATATCTTGGCCGTTAAGTACTATTCTAATCGACGATAAATTTTTATAAACTTTGATACGAGTAATGTAAATTGAATTGAAAGAGATCAGTTTTTTTTTCCATTGGCACCACATATTTTAGGCTTTTGAAACTCGCGAGAGATTTCTCCACAGGGACACTTTGTCCTTTCTCTCGGGATAAATAATCTACAAGGGTCGATAAGAAGCTCTTTGGTCCATCGCAGTTTCGAATATATTGCGGATAATTGACCTGAGTGCGCGAAAAATATCCACGGCACGGTTCACCACCCAATCCCGCTTTAATGTTGACGAAACAACCCTCTCACCACATTTTTCCTTTTAACTAACATATTCCTTTCCCTATCACCTTCTTACGTCTATTGCGCTACCTTTGCTGCCTCTGCCTAACTATTATTTAGTATAATATAGAACTCTATTTGCCTAAAATGTACTCGAATCGCGGCGCGATTTTATTGAGCTCCATGAATTAAACGCAGAGCGAGTGCCCTCGATAATTTTGAGCAACTGCTCTTCGAAATAGATGCACGGAAAAAAAAACATCTCTTCGACGTCCAAGAAATATTCTCCAACATCGTATAAATGTTCTCTCATTTGAAGTTAGTATCCTAATCTTCAAGAAATGCTCAAACTTTTCAAATATCGCTCTATCTAACACGATTTTATATATATATATATATATATATATATATAGAAAATGCTCCTACTCTTTGCCGTCACAATATGTCCCTTTGATGAAAAAGAAGCGAAAGCACTTATTCCAGAGAGATCACGGAGCCCACTATCGCTCACGCAACAACGATCCGACCCTTACAATTGTAACTTTTGTTATCCTTGCAACGCTAGAGAAACCTCTTGAATAACGAACGAACAACACTGGTCGATCGCGCGGGATGGGACTCCACGCCGCGCGTTTAAAGTAACAACGAAGATCTCTGTTACTTGTAATAACTGATTAATAGTAGCGGTAATAATAATAATAATAATAATAATTACAGTTATTATGTAGCCTCTAGTCGTCTAATGTCTATGCCCAACTAGTGAAAAATTTGTATATAAATCGTCTCGCCCTTTTCTGCACGAAGGGAGGGCATTCGACGGAGTGTAAGGTGCAAAATATAGTAAGCTACGATCTTGTATTTTTAGTGCTCTCTCTCGCGACTAAGCCTCTACCACCGTATCGCTGCGTGACCTGTTTTGGCTGATCAAGTTACTCGGGGCTCGAATAAGAATCTCCACACTTTCACACATATCAGTAAGATTGACAGTATTTTTTTTTTAAATTACATATATTACTGCTTCTTTAAAAATCTTTCTCATCTGAGAATTGTCAAGATGATAAAATCGTACAGAGTAAAATAATAGATAAATAAAAGTACTTATAGACTTTTTACCCTTTTGTTTAAAAGTTTATAGTTATAGAGATCTAAAATACAAATATATAATTACATTATTCAACATTGACTATTCAAAATTCGGACAGAGATATGACTTGATGACTTGGCGAATTTTAGAGACAATGCGATAAAGTTAATAGAGAAAGAAGTGACTATCTTGAAAAGCTGCATTATTGCACTCGGAATAAGATTCATAAAAGCTATTAAATGGAAACTTTCAGTAAACAAATCTGGTAACTTTGATTGAAAATTCAAGAATGATACGCGATATCTATATATATATATATATATATATATATATATATATATAAATTATATATAGATATAAGTTCTGTCTTTGCTTTAATCTATTACAAAGACATCATAAAATAATTTGTATATAATAAACAAGAAATTCTACAATTACAAAATCGAATTGAAATTGTAATTTGAATAGAATCTTCGCGTATGTTGTTTGTTATATTTTCTCATTTTTTAAAATCATTTTTCTCCAATTACATAGTTATATGATGATTTGTGAAGCTACCTAAAAACTTATGAGCATGTACAACCTTTGTTATGTCATAACTCGAGTCACCAAGTTTTTTTCGCGAATGTTTGTCCGGGATTGGAATCAGCCAAACAGGTCGAGCAGTCCGACATGGCGGCGGCGTTGTTAAGTTATTACTAAGGTGCCTTCAGTCTATCCAATGTCAGTACTATCTTGTATTTGGTGTCGTTAAAACCGTCCCTCTCTGCAATTTTTCGCAAAATTGCGACGCTTTCCGTACCTTTCATTTCTCTCCCCCACTTTATTCATCACCACTCTACCCCAAAAAATGTTTTCGCAACATTCTCTCTTCGCGACTTCAAACGGCTCAACAACAACATGGCGAACGGTCATCGATACATATATTATATATTGCATTTACTCAGTCTACGTAGTTCCCTTATTACTTACACTGCGTGTGTGCGCGCGCGTGTTTCACCCCGATTCGTTTCCCTTTCAAATCTTTCACGAATCCAATCAAGAGAGAATTTCTCTTAATATAGATAAAGTTTCACAACAAATATTTAACAACCTATTATATATAATTGTTCCCAAAATTTTCATACGCAAATTTTTTTATTGATATATGTATGTGATAATAGCATGTCTTTTTCGAGAGATAATTCCAAGATACATTAAAGTACTTTGAAATCTATCGATAAAGACCAAGTGTTAAAACTACTACATTTTACCAAAAGCACGCGAAGGTCCCTGTTTGTGAACAATAGAATTTGCGAACTTTTATAATCTTTTTCGATAAAACGCGCGCGCGCACCTCTCGTAAAAATGTATCACCAAGCTGCATCACAACTGGCGTGTTTGATTCTCTCTCTCTTTCTTTCTCTCTCTCTCTGCAACGTAATATATAGTCAGGCAATAATAAATATACTTTTTCTTTCTCTCTCTCTCTCTCTCTCTTCTGTCTCTGCGTTGATTTGGATTTACTCGACGTCTCTTCCTTCTTTTTCGCTTGCATTTTTGCCCCCTGCTTTTACAACTGTAGCCACATTGCTGTACAACGCATTGAAACGAGCGCATCGGTATATAAATTCATCATGTACATTTACGATAGTACAAAGCCTCTTCTGTCCCCCATTTTTACAGTCGGCTCGCCCTTTCTACTCAAAGCGAGCGCGATAATAAAGCTCATTCGTTTCGTAACTTTAATGCCCGTTTGTTTGTTACGTGCACACAGTTTCCTTTCGGCTTTTTGGAATTTTCGGCGCTGCTAGAGCTATGATTGCGATTTTTCGAGAAAAGATGGACGTTACGTAACGCGACAAATTGTGTGCACTATGGGTCCTCGAAGGCACAAAGATTGAAAGGACAACTAGAACTAACACTGGAACCGGGATCAGGACCAGGAGCAGAGATAAAATTCAGGGGTAGAATGCATATTGACGAGCAATGAAAATTGCCTATAAAAGGGTAACCGAAGATACCATTGAAGACATTAATTAATTGTTCGCCAATATATCCTCGTTAAGTATTCGTAGAAATTGCTTTGGTAATTGCTCGAATTTGTTGTACTGGACTTGGTCAGACCCGCACCTCGTATTCGCAGACGTTACGCAGCGTCAGTGCAATCTAATAGAATAGCTCTATCAACTGTTTGAACGATAACATCGTATCTGTAAAATGTTTCCAAAAAGATTTTGCAATTTGGAAGATAGAAAAGCGTTTTATATCTATGCATATATGACATCCAAGATTGATTCTTCCAAGGATATATAGATATGATAGATATGATACCAGGATATCGAACTATGATATGTCATGTAATATTAAAAAACGATGAAACATGTGTTTTATAAAATGTTTCACCATAAACTTGATATCAACGCTCAGACAGTTGATTTGCGCACCGGAAAAATGTTTTAGTAAAAACGCTTGCGCGAAAACCGAAAAGAAACACGAGTGCTGCTGACGATGACATTCATAGCTAAAATCTTGCATCCCCATTTCCGCATATTCTTTCTAGCTATTCCGTTGTAGCCATTTCAAGATCGGTCACTTGCCTACCTATATATTTGTCTATCGCTTACACATATCTATCTATCGTCTTCCTTTCTTTCCATTCGCGGGAGCGCATTGACCTTATTAGAGACGCTTCAACCGGCGCTTTCCTCGCATTTTCCTCGAGTTCTTCTACCTCCTCCTTCCTCTCTTTTTGGCAAGCGCAACAGGCCCCGCCTGTATTGATGTTCTCCCACGAATGTAGCCAGTTCTTATATGGTTTCTCTTTTGATATTACAATCTACAGCACTGTAAACTTTTAGAATCTTGGTATTAAAGTTTTCGCTATCGTTAATCACTGGGTATATGAAAGCCTTTTGATAATATATGAGAACCTTGTTGTAAGATAAATGATTGAAAGTCTATCGCGATATACTTTGCGCGAGGGTGAGAAAACGCAGCCCGAAAGAGGAGGCAGAACGAGAGGACGCCCAACCGACAGCAGTGGTCTACCGCTGGCCCATGTTGCTACTGCTGCTGCCACCATTGCTGCTACTGAGACTCGTGTGCGGCTTAAGACTATGTATGATTTTCACGTGGGCGACCATATTGTCCTTTCTGGTGAATTCTTTACAGCAGACCGGGCAGGCGTAGTACTTGACGTTAGGCTTGTGCGAGGTGACGTAGTGCCGGCAGAAGTTGCTGATGTGTGTGTACGTGCGATGACATACGGTGCAGCGATAAACGTCGCCCTCCTTCACGCAAAAGTCTCGCACCGAGCCCTCCGTGCGCTCATTCTCAACTTTGAACGAGCCTTCAAAGTCGCTCTGACTGATTTCCGCCTCGCCGGCCATCACACTGAATATGGCACTGCTTATGCTGTCCTTTGTCTTCGTCTCCATTTCGGTATCCGAGTGTTGCTGTTGCTGATCGTCGGCCATCGCCGAGGCGGTCGACGCGGCCTTACCTTGCAGCGTCGACGTGCTGAACTCCTTGCGAAAGCATCGCTCAAAGTTGATGCGGATATGAGTCGGCGGCTCACCGCTATCGCCACCGCTCGACGTCTCCTCTAATTCTGAAATGAAGAAATCTTGATCCTTTAAATCGCCCTACATATCCGCGTCCGGTATAATATATGTATATCGTGCAAGCATTTAAATGTGCAGTAGGAGTTCGTTTATCAGAAAACCAAATTCTTGTTAAAATGTAAGCTTTCAAAAACGGCACTGATGAATAATATTCCAGATACATTTGGTGTGTTATTCGTCTTCCAATATATATCATTAGTATTTTAGATCCTTGGTAGCAAAAAAAAAAATCTTTGTCATCGCGAGTCAAACCCTTGACACTTGTTTGAAAAAATCAAGATTATATACTCTTCAAGCCACATCTCACAAATAGATAAAGAGTATTGTTGCACGAGTTTCCCCTGCACAGACTATTCCGCGGATGTTCTGATAAACGGAGTTCTATCGCACATCGTGACTATGTATCTCTGTGTATGTATATACTGTATTGACACAACGTATTTCTATATTTGTGGGGGGAAGCAAGAGGAAGGGTAGAGCCAGCAAAAAAGAGTCACCGTACTTGAATCTCGGCCGTCTCAGTCAACTTCTGTCCCGCGTTAAAGAATAACTTTACTACGCTACGACACGCCCTCTCCATGTCGTCCCCACCCCCGCTGCTCGTCTATTCCCCTTTACATTTTCACACGCATTTTCTCTCTTTCTCTCTCTCTCTCTCTCATCCTCTCTCGCCAAGTTGCGAAACTGAGTTCTCAGCGCAACATTAGCTCTTCTCTCGTTCTCCCAAAGTTCTGGCGCTCCATCGTTTCTCTCACACCACGCGTATCTTCGCATCTTCTCCTCCTCTGCATAATTCACCACGCACTCATACACCTTCACTCTTCATTTACACGTTTCACACGCGCTTACATTCCTGCAAACATACATTCAAGCTTCTAGAAAATCATATATACGGGGTGTCATGCGAGCCTATACTTCCGTTCGATTATTTAGATTGCGAAAAGAAAATTGTAAAAATTCGTAACTCAAAACTATCAATGTTTCGAACAAATATAAGTTGTATAAATTTGAAGAGCTTGAGGAGACTTTTCAAAGATTAAAACTGTTAATTTCAAATTCATTGAAGATTTTTCAGTTCTGAATCTACGAGATCGATTAGGAAGGACTAGACTCGTTTCGACAACCCGCATACGTATCAGGTGATAATCACATGTATGTGAACTGATTAATAAACACCTAGCGACACATGTGCACACTTTACCAACCCCTTCGTCCAGTGCGTCCAGTCAGTCTACAAGTATCCATCTCTACGGGAAAACGATCCATCGAGATCGAGGACGCTCGAGAAAAAAGCAACATTTTCTCTTCCTTGCATCTTTTATTACATTTTAATTTATATATATATATATATATTTATAAATTGTTCCTCAAATATATATGTATGTAATTACTTTCAATTATACATATACGTATATATTGATACGTCGTTATCCGTTTTTCGGCCTCCGGCGCCACATCCTTCTATATCCGGCTTTTTCTCTTACACTCCGGCACTTTTTCGGAACAGTTCCGTCTTTTCGTTCGATCTGTTTATTTTATGACTTTGAATTCTTTTAGAAATCTTTTTTTTAGCGGCTGGCCTCCCTCCTAGTTCCCTCGCTTCCCCCGCGCAAAAGCTTAAATCTCTCAGAGATCGAATGATGGTGACTCAGATAATCTTAACTCACCTGCACCAAAAGTGAACAAAGCGATTCACGGTCACTACCGAAACGAGATCATCTTCGACGACATTTCTCTCTCTCTCTCTTTTTCTCTCTTCGAAGCACTATCTTTCGCGCGCGCGCACGTATATAATTGTAGTAGTACATTTTTATAGAAAGGAAAAAAGAAACGTACGTCACACTATTTCTTTCTCTCTTCTAGTTTCTCTCTTTCTTGATTCTTGGTCACTCTTTATATTTACATATTAATCTATTCTGCTTCTATTTTTATTTCTTCATTTGCTAGTTATCTTTTTTTTTTCTTTTAATGTCGTCATTATCGTCTAATAAAGCAACGAGAAGAACGCAAGAGAAGACGGAAACGATAAAACCTGCCGACAATATGTCGTCCGTTATTTAAGCGTACTTCATCATCATCGTCATCATCATCATCATCATCATTTACGCTCTTCTCTCCGTCTTTTGCTGTCTGTCTTCGCGATAAAAAATGAGACTTTGCTATTCTATCTTCCTCGCAACGAACGAGCGTAAAAAGAAGTTAACCAGCGTTTTCAAGGTGTGAAAATCAGACAACAACAAAAAAAAAGTAAGCACCGCTAAAAGCTGGCTCCACCCCCTCCTGTTACCTTTGGCCAATGGCAGCGAAGCGTTTCTCATTCGTGCGGAAAAAGAGAGTATATGATGAAGAGTACAGGGATGTTTTAGCGGAGTAGTGTATATAGATAGTCGTAGATTAGATTTGGTCAAGTTAAATTGGGATCGGGGAATAGGGCTTTCTCCGAGACATCGAACAGAGCGACAGGTGCAATGCGGTAGAAAGAAGACACAGATTGATTATAGAGAGGCGAGATGAAGGTGGCCGATTTGTGCTCCGAAGAAAAGGGAACAAGGGATGAAAAAGGGTGACAGGAATGAGGCGCTGCGCATTGGCCGAGCGTGAGAATTACGTATGGGTTATTACGTATATATATATGTATATATTTAGATATATATATATATATATCTATATTATGTACGACGAGAACAACAACCGGCGGCAAGTGCAATGGGTAATCCAAAGATCAATTAATTTCAAAGAGACGTTCGGGCGTACAGAAGGGAGTTTCCTTTACGTTTTTCTTTTCTTTTTTTTTTTCTTTTTAGGGTATCGTGGTATACATTCCGAACACACGAACTCTCTTTAAACGAGACGACTGTTTCTCTCGCGAACTCTCTCCTTCTTTTTTCCCCCTTTTTTCTACATGTGCGTGTCTTCATTTATTTTTATCGTATCCTCTGTTTCTCGATTTTTTTCTCTTCGCAATTTGAATATCATCTCGCGCGCGACCATCATTTAGCATGCTGTTTCGCTTGCAACTTGAAAAGGAAATTATTTTACTGTTGTTTTATCTCGTCAGAAAATTACTTTACTGTTTTATTTTTCTCGAAGGTGCAAGCTTCTCCGGACGCAGAATTTTTTCTCGCGTCGGATTTATTTTTCTTTTTATTTTTTTGTCTCGTGTGCGTTTTGTTTCGAAAATGTTCAAGTTCGCGAAATAATTTCAAAGCACGAAATCACGATTTTGAGAAATTATTGCGCGCGCGATTCGACATTAATCTCATCCTGGTCAACTCCTAAAAAAAAGGAAGCGCGCTTGCAGAAGAGCGACAATGAGCCGCGGCAAGGCAGCTCGAGACAAGTCTGAAAAGTCAAATTCATTAGCACATAAAGGATAAAAATTATCGTCCACGTCGAGGACGTGCACGTATCATCAAAAGTTGGATTCGCGCTAGCTAGAAGCGTCATCGCGACGCGAGTCTCGAAACTTGAATTAAAGTTGTCACCCTCGTGGGTTTAAAAGATTCTTAGATTCTCAGACGTCGTCGATCGACCTCGACGAATCGTACGAGAGAGTCGTAAGAGTCGTTCTCACGTAGAGAGTCTACAGCGTCGTCCAAAATGCCACGCAAGATTCGCTTGCTTGCTTGCTTGCTTGCTCCTCGGGGCTTCACAAGAGACGAATAAGCATTCGGACGTCACAAAAGCGAGTTCTTCCCCGAGTCTTTCGGGTTTGCACGCAGAAGAATGTCCGACGCAAACAATCGCAAAATTCAGATTATATAACATTCATTTAACATTTACATTTCAATTCTTCATTTTATTCATATGTAAAAATATTATAGTCAGTCTTAATTATTAGATTTAATTTGAAAAAAATATTTCAACACGTCGAGACGATCCAACATTCTTCTACGCGCTCGCGCGTTATGGGAATCACAATTCACACCATGCTGAGACATATTTGGTATATAGGGTAGCGCGATTAGATGCGCGATTTTACTCTGCGCTATTATCGCGAAATTATGCAACCGCGAAACTACGTGATCTTTTTTCAAACACAATTTAATCTTCGAGCGCGTGTTGCATTCTGTGCTACACTTTGCGACTTACCTTGGGTAATTTTCGCGAGTGCATTCTCAAAATTAACGATTATAATCGCAGAAGTAAATCGGAAATATTTTCTGTGCAACTGTTATTGCGCCCTTTCATTAAAAAAAAAATTAATCCCGTCTACGTGCGCAAACTCTAATTTTCAAAAATTAAAGAGAAAATTTCTCAAGCATAAAACATCTCTAAATTTGATCTGTGCATCTGCAATAATATAAAAAGTAAGTTTATAGAAATTTATAAATTTAATGAAATAGAAGTCCATAACGTATAGGAAAAAACTAAAGAAGTTAATTTCAGTATTTGTTATAAAATCTGTACTATTAATTATGACATCATTGCGCACAAAAATTGCATAATCGATCATTTAATTAATTACAATTGACAAATTTCCGCGTAGTTTTTGTTTGAAAGATATTGTACCGCAATAATATCCATGTGAAACGCTCGTACACGAAGATTGCGTTAAACCGCCGTTTGCATTATATCAGGGAGTATTAGCAATGCAACGCTTCTATATCGAAGTCAAGTACGCTCTGAAGAATCTTACCTTGCTTGAAACCTTCACTTCCCTGTCTACTGTGTGGCCGCGCGAATGTCTCATCCGAGGCTAGAATCAACAATGACGAATCAGTTTGAGTTTTTTTGTCGAATCTCGTATGACGTATTTCGTTGCGCCTCTTACCTTGCGCCGAGGTGCTGGGGGTCGGTTCTGGTTCCCGCTTAACCCGCGTGACTGGCGGTTCCGGCGTATCGGTGCCGTTCTCCGTAGGCTCGTCTCTTCTCGCCGACGACGATCCCGAGGAGGCGGCGGAATTGCTGGCGGCCGCTGAATTGGCGGCAACGCTATTGGCGGTATTGGCGCCACTCCTGATGTTCCCGTTGCCGCTGACCTCGCTCTGAAAGTCCAGCCCCATCTTCATTTCCATCATTTCGGGCGAGCCTTGAACCAGATCGGCGCCCGAACACGATTGTAAGTCTTGGCCGCCGACTTCCCCAATCGGCGTGTCCGACGAGCCGCTCAACTTCCTGGGCCTACCACGTTTTCTCTTGGGCGCTGTAAGCGCGGAGCCAAGTAACGGATGGCTGGACATGTGGTGGAACCTCTTCTGCGCGACGTGATGATGATGTTGACCGATTTGATTGATCCGGTGAAGATTGGGTGGTGGCGGCGCCACCGCGTTCTGACCGCCACCCAATAGCGAGGATGTGATGCTCGGTAGATCGCATTTGTCCTCGTTCACTTCGGTCAAGCCTTTTATCCTTAGGGATTCGGCTACTCGCAGAAAGGCGGTCAGTCGGTCTTGGTCGACGCTTACCTCGCCGCGGTACATAAAGTCCAGAAGGCTACGCATGTCCACGTACGGAACATCCTTGAGAATGACTATCGGGTGCTTATCGGGATGGCCAACAAACAAGGCCTACAATTAAAACATTATCGTATTAGTTAAAAATGTTGATTTCTTTTTGTAGACAAAAATTACAAAAAGTAGACGGTAGTTTTGCAACGCAAAAGAGATTAGGTTTACCTGAAAATAGGGGCTACATGCCGACAGCACCATCTTATGCGCCCTGAGTAATTGGCCCTCAACGGCCAGCGTGACGTCGACGAACGACTCGTCGTGCAACAGCTGGTCGAAGACGGAAAGCAGATTGCTCTGGTGATTGTTCCAGCGCAGACAGAACCTCTGCGACGCCATCGCTTCGCTTCTCAGATCCAGGTTGCCGTTGATGTCCGCTAACATGGGGGGACCTGGCTGTTCGTCGCCGTATTGTCGCCGTTGCCACTGCTGCTGCCGCCGCCACTTCGTCCTCGTTTCTTCTTTTGCTTCTCCACTGCGCCACCACCTTCTACGATGACGAAGCCACTCGCTCTTGCTCGTGCTGCTGCTCCTTCTACTACTCGTCCTCGTGCTGCTCTGCTCTTCATCGGCCAAGAATTATCGTGTCCGTCTTACTCGTGACCTGCAACAGAATCAAAGTAATTGGAATTAGTACTATGAAGCAATATGTATCCTCTCTTTCTCTTTAATCGAATTTTCTTCAAATGTCTTAATTGTGACTCGATCAGAACCTTATCTCGTAAAGTAAACACGCCTTTTCCAGATAAAGTATATTTATGTATCAAATTTAATATAATGTATATTTATTAATATCGAACAATAATAATGTATTTTTAAAATATTTTATATTTAATATTCTTTTATTAAGTGTATAAAAAGTTATTAAAGCAGGTCCTGAGCATTGAAAGCTACAAAGACGACTCTAACAAAAAGGATAAGAATACAATGAAGGATAGACATGGGTGTACGACCCTGGAGAATGTAGACACGGAGAGCGAATAGGCGACTCACTCGGTTCATGTGTGCCTTTTATGTAATTCTCTTTCTTTCGCCCCTTCCAATCACAATACGTCATCATGTACGTACGACATTTCATGCCTACGAAGAAACACAATTCATCGAAAGATGCTCCACGTCGAGATAAAATATATTGCCATCCTGTTTTCATTATTCATATTATTAAAGTGATATTCAATTTCCGTTTTCATTAATTGAAAACATTAATTCATACAAAACTTTCATTTGTATTTTTTTTTTTTTTTTTTTTACATATTGGTCAACTAATATTGTCTGCAATAACTATATTATAACATTCCAGTGATATAATTTTAAAAACTTTAATTGGCATATTTATTTTGTATCTCTGACTGAAAGATTTTTGTAATATTGCAATACAGCAAGATTAAAACGATCAAAAGGGGACAGAGTCTCGGTCTCTCCTCTCGGATCGTCGCCATGGAGAGAAGAGGTCGTCGGGTCGGCCGAGGGAATCAATAGCATTTTCTACGCATTCGGATCGATACCGGGACCCGCTTTCGCGCGCAAATCACGCTACATATATATATGTAGCATGTGCGACAAATATAAAACGGCGCAAGTTCTAAAACAATGCGCGCTCTCGAAACAATTCGACCTACGAAAGATCCAATTAGTCGACGATAAATTAATATAAATAAATTTTAATCAGAGGGTGAAGGAGAACTATTATGAGAATTAATCCGCACAATTTGCCATAAGATCCTACTTTTATATCATCTCCACCTGCATCGCGCACACGCACCGTTGCACGTGGCATATGGATGCAGGATGGTTGCGCGACCTTGTCGGTGACCAGAGCGCAAATGTACGTACGGTTTTCACGGTGAATGGCAGGGAAAGAGAGAGAGAAAGAGACAAAGAAGAGGAAGAAGTAAGAGAAGAGAGAGAAGTCGACCTTTAACGATCGGGGCAACTCCATCGGGAACGTCGAATTATGTTACAACATTCGGGAGGGGATCAATTAGTTCGCGAAAGCGGAAAACGCCCGCGGGGAGATCTTGTTACAGAAGCAACCGAGAGCCTAATGAAGACGGTCGCGTTGCAACGCAGATCCTCGCGTTTATCCCGATATCGAATTAATCATTTCCACACGAGACGAAACGATATTTCTTCAATTCCACCCCCGTGCGCGACGGCGATTCCAGAAAAATTGCGTAACACGCTGCAAAAGAATTATTTCATTAATAAATATTTATTTTAATATTGCCTAATAAATTATTTATTTGAAACAAGTAAATGTTCTTACAGTTTTAAATAAATAATTTATTTGGTAGCATGAGAATAAATATTTCTTCGAACGATGAATTTTTTTTCAGTGCACACAATTGATGCATCGTGTGTAAATTTCGCGAATACATACGCAACAGCTCTCTGCTCATGTACAATAATATACCTGATTATCGAAATAACAATCTTTTTTGCGCGCAGTAATTTTGAAACATCTCACGCATGCACGATATCGATATGTTATGAACTGATGACAAAGAATAAATGCATTTTATTCTTTTATTACGTATCTCGTTGGATTTTAGGTATCAATCACTCACGCGACAAATTGATTTTCCCCCGTTGTCCAAAATCTAATTTTGGCAGTGAAAAAACCGAGACGGAAATAAACTCTGTGAGAAACGCCAATCAATAATATAAGCCTCGCGGAGTTAACATAAATAAATTCTATACCACACTCTCTTATTATCTACATCAAAAATTGAAATTTATTCTTTGTGGGATATCTTCTCCGAATGAATACTACTCGGTGTTAAATTAAAAAAAAAAAAAAAAAAAAAAAAAAAAAATGACATTGTCAGTGACATAATTAAAATATTTAACGTTTAATAATAAAAAAAAAGCTCGATATTTAAAAATAATTTGGCACCATCTACATTTTACTTTTTATGCCGAGTTTTGCATGACACATATACGCGCAGACGAGTTTTATTCGATATGTTAAGTATTGATGTCTTGATTTTCGCCAGGAGAAGGAACCTGACGTGAGAAGGAGTCGCTGGCAGACGTAAATGAAGACCATGACAGTGTACACAACTGCGTTCTCCGAAACTCCGCAGCGGATAAAAACCGGCACCGAATGTCGGAAGGCTCTCTCTCGTTCTCTCTCGTGTTTACTTAGTCGCTCCGATACTCACGCGATGATGAGCGCGGCCTTTTTCTTCTTCTTTTTTTTTGTTCGCGAAACATGCGCGCGTGTGCCCAGGATAAGCTCAAAGTATATGGATTCAACGATAACAATCGCGAAGATTAACTAGTTACATTTTCCTCTCCCGATGCAAACATTACAGTAGATGGATCGCAAGATTGTGAAAAAATTTTAAAATTATTTCATCGATATAAAATTGATCATAATATGCCAATTATGGCGGGGTTTTTTACTTACGTCATAATCATGTAATTCGTGCCGAAAGAATAATCGTGAAAAATAATATTACCAATCCTACATTTTATTTTATCGATATAAAATAATTTAAAATTATAGTAATCTATTTTTATAATATATGAAATAAGATTAAAATAACTTTTGAGATTTCTATTTATTTCGATAGGATGGATATTATTTTTCACGATTTCGTATATAAAAGCTTCCGACGCAATATTTTTTTAGTCCGCGTGTTGAAATGACGTAAACAAAAGTCGCGCCATAATTGGCATATTATTGCCCATGTGTATGCAAATACGATATAATCTTGCCCGATGGTTGCTGCTTGATTAATCCATTTTCCTCGAGCTCGATCTCTTAACAAAAAAAAAAAAAAAGAAAAGATCGTGATTTTCTCTTCGTGTGTTTATGTCACGCAGATTCATCTCATTCATACGAGAGAATGCTATATAATAAGTAATCAAAGTATTTTCCCAGCGATATTTCCTGTTGACATTAATTTATGTAACGCGTTGAAATGGGCTGTTCTCGCTTCCCAATATTGGCCATATATAAATCTCTAGACGAGAATATACGCCTTTGCACGCTCATCCTACAAGTCATCGCCTACACGCGTGCGCGTGCACGCGCGCATTAACAAACCTTGCACGTTTGCGCCTAGATCAGCGTTTCTCAACCAGTCGCGCGAATTGTATTTCAGCGTGTGTATTGTATATACATATATTCACAACCCTCTTTCGATCTACGTAAACATCGATATTGGGAAAAAAATGGTCGCGTAGTAACAGCTGCGAGAAATATTACATAACCGGCGAGTTTGAAGATTCCCGATGCGCGCTAATACGTATATATGTATGCGTAAGTATTCGATATGCATGAAAAAAATATTTTAAATTCGACGATAACCACCAATCGTCGGATCGAGAAGTTGACGCGTATTTCGATTTGTCGTCGCGATATATGACGAGATATCGATAATCGCGATGAGCCAATCCTGCGACGAGCGGACGCGCGCTGCATTCTCGCAAACGCAAATCGCTCTCATGGCCACGCGTTGCGTAATCAAGGCAACGCGACGCGACGCTCCGCACGAGGTACAAAACGAACACACGTAAGCGAGCGCGTACTCGCTGACTCGACTCGGCTCGGCTCGGCCCGACTCGGCTCGGCTCGACTCGACTCGACTCGACTCGGCGAGGCGCGGCGCGGCGTGGCACGGCGCGGCGCGAATACCGCGCGGCAGATTCGGTCGGCCTCGGCTCGGCTCGGCTGTCTCCGCGACGCGTCGCGTTTAACTGTCTTTATTCTGCGTCTCTCTTTCTCTCTCGCGCCTACGTTCCTCTTCCGCGTACTTTGCGAGGATATCGCGCGTTTCCGCAAAAGACGGACTGACTTTAACTCGTCGCAAAATTATTCACTTGGTTTCCCTCTATCTCCTTTCTACTATTTTTTTTTTCATTATTCTTATATAAGACATTATTTTTTATTAAAAGTGTTGATTACTTGTTACATGGCTTTATATATTTTACTTCCCAACCACATAATTTATTACTTGTCATAAAAGTTATAATAAGTTTGTGGACGACCACCACAATCTTTTTCTCCGAAATATATCGGCGACTCGATAAAACAAGTTTGGCATCTCTCTCCCTCTCTTTTCCTCCGTGCCCTAATCCTTTCTTCGCTTCATCTGGGCTACTTTTGCTGCGCGCAAAAGGCGAGATACGGATCGATTAGAGAAACATTCCGCTGAATCAGCGCTCAAGGATATATATGTCCGGTCGGCGAAATCGCACTCGTGCCGGGATTCCGTCACGGTGCAACACGCGCCTCTTATTTCTCTTTTCGTTCTCCCATCTTTTCCTTCCTCCCCCCCCACCCCTTTCGTCGCAGTATTTCTCTGTTATCCTATATGTATACGCGCGAGGAGGAAGACCGAGACGTGAATATTACCGCGATTGCGACATCCGCGCGATTCCTCGACTCCGCGATTTACGTGACTCGCAAAGCCGCGATAGTCGCCTTCGAGCTCGCGCCACTTTGCGGCAGAGGGGAGGGAAGGGGGAGGGAGTCACGAGGGACAGAGAGAGGACGCCGTATCCGGAGAGACAACACACGCTCGTCCTAGAATAGGGGTTGCTGCATCGATCGACCGAATTTCGACAGCGGAATCGAAGTCGAATTCGACGAAG